ATCTTCGGTAACAGGACGATTTGGAATTGTACCTTGACCTTATGACAACTAGAACCGGATACTTAATAAAACACACCCTTCCAAGTGCCAGATACAACCGGTGGTCGCTCTACCTCAGGGATATGAGGAGGGGATCGCCGGGTAGGATTATGCTATGAGATGCTATTTGGAGATGCTACTTGGAGATGCTACTTGGAGGACTTCAATCTACTCTCTTCTACTTGATGCAAGACGGTGGCTGCGAGAAGCGTAGTCTTCGACAGGATTAGTTATCCCCCTCTTATTCTGGCATTCTGCAGTTCAGTCCACTGATATGGCCTCCTTACACATATACCCATGCATATGTAGTGTAGTTCCTTGCTTGCGAGTACTTTGGATGAGTACTCACGGTTGCTTTCTCCCCCCTTTTTCCCCTTTCCTTTCTTTCTGGTTGTCGCAACCAGATGCTGGAGTCCAGGAGCCAGACGCCACCGTCGACGACGACCCCTACTACACTGGAGGTGCCTACTACTACGTGCTGCCCGCTGATGACGACCTGGAGTAGTTTAGGAGGATCCCAGGCAGGAGGCCTGCGCCTCTTTCGAGCTGTATCCCAGTTTCTGCTAGCCTTCTTAAGGCTAACTTGTTTAACTTATGTCTGTACTCAGATATTGTTGCTTCCGCTGACTCGTCTATGATCGAGCATTTGTATTCGAGCCCTCGAGGCCCCTGGCTTGTATTATGATGCTTGTATGACTTATTTATGTTTTAGAGTTGTGTTGTGATATCTTCCCGTGAGTCCCTGATCTTGATCGTACACGTTTGCGTGCATGATTAGTGTACGATTGAATCGGGGGCGTCACATCGCCGCTGCCCGAAGGCCTCCCCATCGCTGGACCACCCGCCGTTGCTACTCGTCGCCGCCGCCTGGATCTCCCCTGCCTCGTCGACGGCCACCTCGCCGGAACGCCACCTCGACCCCCTCCTCGTCGGACTTCCCCGACCTCTGTCGAGCCCGCTGCCTAGACCCCACGGCCCCGTGGTGAGGCCCCGACAACTCCTCCTCCTCCCCTGCTCCGGCCACTTCGGCCATGGCCTCGCTCACTGGCTCCTGCAACGCGCGCCGGCCGCCCTGGCCGCGCCCGCGCCCCCTACCTGTGCCCGCGAGGCCTGCCGCCCGTAGACACGCCCGCGCCGGCCTCGTCCTGCCCCGGACGGCGTCGCCCTCCGCCCGGGCCATCGCCTTGCCTTGCCTCGCCATGTTCCCCACGCCCACGCGCCGGCTTGGGCTCCCTACGCCCTGCTGCCGCTTGTGCGGTGGTCGCCGGCGCCCCGCCAGCCTCGCCCCGCTCTACGCCTCGCCAGCGCCCCCCCTCGGGCGCCCTGTTGGGGCCGGCCACCACGCCCGCACGCCGGTGCCCGTTGCCCGCAACCGCGCCCGCGCCCGTTGCGCCCGAAACCGCTAAGGCCCCTGTGCCTATGACATGAGGGGCCCAGGCCCTAGAACGAAAAATAAAAAAAGAAAGATTTAATAAAATAAATAAATAAATAAATAAAATAATTAAAATATTAATTAGTTAATTAATTAAAGAATTAATTAACTTAATTGATCCTGATTAGATTAACCTAATCACCTAGTTAGTTAATTAATCTATTAGGTTAGTTAACAGTCAATGATAGCTGGGACCCACACGTCAGCGACCCAGTCAACACCTCTGTTGACTGCCGACATCATGCTGACGTCATGATGACGTCAGCATGCACTGTTCTGGATAATGTTAAATTAAATTAATTAAATAAATTCTAAAAATGATTTAAAACTTTAGAAAATCATATAAAATAATCCGTAACTCGGATGAAAATACTTTGTACATGAAAGTTGCTCAGAACGACGAGACGAACCCGGATACGCAGCCCGCTCGTCCACCACACACCTCTAACATACCAAACACGCAACTTTCCCCCTCCGGTTCATCTGTCCGAAAACGCGAAACACCGGGAATACTTTCCCGGATGTTTCCCCCCTTCGTCGGTATCACCTACTACCGCGATTGGGCACACCTAGCATCGTTACTTGTCATGCCATGCATCGATATGCATTTGTTTGCATTGTATTCATTGTTTCTTCCCCCTCTTCTCTCCGGTAGACTACGAGACCGACGCTGTTGCTGCCCAGTTCGACTACGGAGTTGACGACCCCTCCTTCTTGCCAGAGCAACCAGGCAAGCCCCCCCCTTTGATCACCAGATATCGCCTACTCTTCTCTATACTGCTTGCATTAGAGTAGTGTAGCATGTTACTGCTTTCCGTTAATCCTATTCTGATGCATAGCCTGTCATTGCTGCTACAGTCATTGATACCTTACCCGCAATCCTAAATGCTTAGTATAGGATGCTAGTGTTCCATCAGTGACCCTACACTCTTGTCCGTTTGCCATGCTATACTACTGGGCTGTGATCACTTCGGGAGGTGATCACGGGCATATACTATATATTTTACACTGTTACATTACTGGTGATACTGTTTGGAGATGGGGGCTGAAGGGGCAGGTGGCTCCATCCAGGTAGTGGTGGGCCTGAGTTCCCGATGGCCCCCGACTGTTACTTTGTGGCGGAGCGACAGGGCAGGTTGAGACCACCTAGGAGACAGGTGGGCCTGGCCTTGTTCGGCATTCGCGGATACTTAACACGCTTAACGAGATCTTGGTATTTGATCTGAGTCTGGCTACTGGCCTATACGCACTAACCATCTACGCGGGAGTAGTTATGGGTATCCCGGCGTCGTGGTATCAGCCGAAGCACTTCAGACGTCAGCGACGGAGCGGCGCGCGCCGGATTGGAACGTAAGCCTGCTCTTGTATTAAGGGGGCTAGTTCTGCTTCCGGCCGCCCTCGCAACGTGCAGGTGTGCTATGGGCGATGGGCCCAGACCCCTGTGCGCTTAGGTTTAGATCGGCGTGCTGGCCTCTCTGTTTTGCCTAGGTGGGGCTGCGACGTGTTGATCTTCCGAGGCCGGGCATGACCCAGGAAAGTGTGTCCGGCCAAATGGGATCGAGCGTGTTGGGCTATGTGGTGCACCCCTGCAGGGAAGTTAATCTATTCGAATAGCCGTGATCTTCGGTAACAGGACGACTTGGAGTTGTACCTTGACCTTATGACAACTAGAACCGGATACTTAATAAAACACACCCTTCCAAGTTCCACAGACAACCCGGTGATCGCTTTTCTACAGGGCGACGAGGAGAGGATCGCCGGGTAGGATTATGCTATGCGATGCTTCTTGGAGTTGCTACTTGGAGTTGCTACTTGGAGATGCTACTTGGAGGACTTCAATCTACTCTCTTCTATATGCTGCAAGACGGAGGCTGCCAGAAGTATAGTCTTCGACAGGATTAGCTATCCCCCTCTTATTCTGGCATTCTGCAGTTCAGTCCACCGATATGGCCCTTTACACATATACCCATGCATATGTAGTGTAGCTCCTTGCTTGCGAGTACTTTGGATGAGTACTCACGGTTGCTTTCTCCCTACTTTTTCCCCTTTCCTTTCTTTCTGGTTGTCGCAACCAGATGCTGGAGTCCAGGAGCCAGACGCCACCGTCGACGACGACCCCTACTACACCGGAGGTGCCTACTACTACGTGCAGCCGCTGACGACGACCAGGAGTAGTTAGGAGGATCCCAGGCAGGAGGCCTGCGCCTCTTTCGATCTGTATCCCAGTTTGTGCTAGCCTTCTTAAGGCAAACTTGTTTAACTTATGTCTGTACTCAGATATTGTTGCTTCCGCTGACTCGTCTATGATCGAGCACTTGTATTCGAGCCCTCGAGGCCCCTGGCTTGTATTATATGCTTGTATGACTTATTTTATTTGTAGAGTTGTGTTGTGATATCTTCCCGTGAGTCCCTGATCTTGATCGTACACATTTGCGTGCATGATTAGTGTACGATTGAATCGGGGGCGTCACAGTGTTTCCCTAAAGGTATTATCTCGCTGATGGTATCTATCCTTTCGTGGGCAGCATTTGTGAAGACCATCAGTAAGCCAAAAACTAGGAAACACACTATTTTTGCCAAAGCTTGAGAAGCTTGCTGAAAGGAGATTGAGAGGACATTTGGTGTGTTGCAGGCTCAGTTTGCCATTGTTCAAGGCCCCGCTCGCTACTGGGATAAGAAATCCCTCTCGGCTATTATGACTGCATGTGTAATTTTTCACAACATGATCATCGATGATGAGATTTAAACTTGGAGTTTTACTATATTGGTAGCCGTGTCAAGCATGACATGGACCCAGAGATCATTGTATTTCTTACGACCTATAGAAAGATCTAGGACAATGTGACACACAGCCAGCTTTGTGATGATCTCATTGAGCACTAGGGACAACTGTTTGGGAGATAAACTCTCATTTTAGTCATTTGATTTTTTTTTATTATGTGTGGTTTGAACAATTCTTTTAATTCAGGACCATTTGTTATTGTAATAATTATTTGGATTTGAATATTTTTGTAATTGTTGTGTTGCATGATGCTAAAACATTATTAGGTTTGATTTATATTGTTGTTTTTTTAAGATTATATTGAAGGGTGTGGCTAGGTCTCAGTGAGATTTAACCAAGTATTAGTCAAGTGACATAACATGGAAGAGCAAAAATGAAAAAAAAAAACTAATTTTTTTTTACATGAATCTCAATATAAGATCTCACGGATATAGTATCGACTGAGACTTTGTTAAGTCTTAGTCGACTGAGACTTAGCAAGACTGTTGTTTGAAATCATGATTTTGCCTATTACCCTAAAACAGATCTGCGGTACGGCACGACATCGGGCGAAACAAATATCTACAACTTGGTTTGCCGTGCGATACCGCGCGGTACAGCCTATCCGTTTTAGTGCGAACCGTATATTTTACAGAACAAGTTTTTGCAGGAAAGAGTTGTTCTAACCCAGGCCGAGCCGCCACCATCGATCCCCAAATCCCTTCTCCCTCCACCCAACCCTAATCGCTAGCTAGCTAGCTAGCCGCTATGGCCCGTTCCATGGTTCTGCTCGACCGCGAGATTGATTTCTCTCCCGACGAGGCCGTATCCGGCGGAGAGTCAATCCCCTACCCGTGGGGATTCTGGGAAGGAAGTGGACCACCAAACCGCAAAGCCATAAGTGATCAAGTCATCAAGTACCTGCGGACCTTCAAGGCCCGGTCAATCGTCGGCAACCCGCCGGAACTCTCCTTCCTCCACATACTGGTGCCGCCGCAATCCCTCCCGCTCCCGCCGCCATACATGGGCCTGGACTCGGGCCGCATCTCCAGCACGGACAAGAACCTAGTCGCCCTTTACGCCGGCGGGTACCGCCCTGGCTCTAGTTTGCGGGGAGGCTACCTCATCTACGACGCCAGGAAGGCGAAGGACTCCCTGTCCGTGATCCCCCGTCTCCCCGACGACGACGACGGCTTGCATGGAGTCATGGGGCACCAGTCGGCCGTCGTCATGTGCGACGCCCAAGGGGAGGGCTACGTTCTTGCCGAGCTCGTCATGCCAGGATTCTCCCAAGCCGGGGTCTGGCTGTGGAGGTCGTCTGCCAAAGAATGGGTCTTGCTGTCCGGGAGCCATCCCCTTCCATCCAGCAGATTCTCCGTTGATTTGTGCTTCTCTTACCGGGGCTCTTTCCTTTGCTGGGTGGATCTGCTCAAGGGCATGTTGCTCTGTGATCTCAACCATGACTGCAACAACAAGTTCAGCTTTATCAACCTGCCACAAGACTGTCCAGCCTATGATGTAAACCCCGAGTATCCAGACATCGTCCGCCCAGACGAGTTCCGGTCCATGGCCTGTGTTTGTGCTGCACACATAAAGCTCATCGCCTTGGATGAATGTGGATTGGAACTCATCGTCTGGACGCTGTCGCCTGACCTCTCAGGCTGGACCATGACCTGCAAGTACAATGTCGAAAAAATCTGGGCAAACGTAAGCTACCAGTCTGCAGGTTTGAGACAGCTTGCTCCGTCGCTCCCTGTCCTCAGCATCCACCAAGACGGCGTCGTCTACTTAGTCGTAAATGATGAAAGCATCGTGGACCGTCGACTAGTGCACAAAGGCCAGTATTTGCTTCGCGTCGACATGGAGAACGACGAGGTCCACGTCTCTCCACAGCCTACAAGGCGTATTTGTTCCCAACTCTTTGCCAGCGAGTTCAGTGCGCACCGACACACAGCGTCTACAGCATCTCACCCTGTCATTTGATTCTATAGTTTCATTTGCATACTGCTGTCATTTCATTTATAATATATGTTCACCATCACTCAACATGCTTTCATTTGCAGGCAGGCATGCTACTGTAATTTTGCTTAGGTTTGTAATACGATTAAAATTCCAACGCTTGCTTATCGCATCCGGTTTGCTTCATGTATTTATTTGCTAATACAAATCAAGATATTTGGCCCCTTGTATTGATATAAGTTGAATAGTACAAGTCTGATATTGATGCTCATCCGCAATCATGATTCGGGAATCAATTTATACTACCAAATTACTCTGCCCCCTTGTCATATCAGTACCCAACTTCTTGCACATCATGATGACACTCTTTTGCATGTTTTAAGGCTGTTTTTTTTTCCTTTTCTTCTTTGCTGATAGTGTTGTCATTAGCTTCACCTCTACACTTTTTGTTTCTGAACTCGGAATTGGTATGAGCCAATTCCATTCAAACTAGAGCTGAACACTGACAATTGTCTGAATGAAAGATGTCAAAAGTAAATGAAAAATATTTATTTTAAAAATTGATTCCATCGTGCGCCTGTTGGGCCAGCCCAAGCGTTCACGGATTTGAAAAAAGTTCTTCAATTTTGACAAATATTTACAGATTTGAAAATTTCATAGATTTTCAAAAATTTCTCTAAAACAGTTCAAAAAAGTTCATGAATTTGAATTTCCTTTATTTTAAAATCTTCACACATTTGAAAAACGTAAAAAATAAAAATACTTTGAAATGAAAAATAAAAAGGAAAGGGAAAAAAACAAACCCCGATTTAAAAAAAAACATGAGAAACCCCGGCCTGAAAGTTCACAAAGTTACATTTGTCACATAAGAAGCAAAAAGAAAGCAAGTGGGCACAACAATTAACCTGTCCCAGTTTGTTACTAAAACTAGAAGTAAACCTTGAGGGTTAAATTCGAATCTCGCATGGCGCAGTTTATTTGAAGATTAAAAAGAAAGAGAAAAAAGTACATCGGGCGATGTATTAAAAAAGGAAAACGCTAACACTCAACCGGCGGATGTTTGTGCGCGCGTCGACCTCCTCCATTGGCGCCGGATTTGATTTGGATCGAACGACTCATAAGCAATCTCTATCCTAGTACATTTTTTGCAACCTGCCCATTGTTTCAATTAGCTTGACCGAAACAAATGGTTTGTTGCAGACTAAGAACTCACGACTAGCATCCAAGCGGGGAGCCCATGCATGTAGGTCGCCGCCGCTGAACGTCACCGCCCGTAGGTCGTCGCCACCGAGCATCGTTGCCTGTAGGCTCCACCGCCTGTAGTTCATCGTTGTCGAGCGTCGCCGCCTATAGGTCGTCATCGCGAGCGCATCCGTGATGGATCTCCGCCGCCAAACGCCTCCCGTCGATCAGATCGACGGATCCCGCGAGATGCACCACGCTGGCGTGGAGCACCGTCAGCCTCACCCCCGTCCTGGCACCACCAGCACTAGCAGCAGCCACATCACAACACCGTACGTTCATGTAGGGTCTTGTTGGAGAAAATTAGAGAATAAGAGGTTTTGCAACATGGGACTTGCTACAAAAAATTAGAGAAGAGGAGGTTTCACAACAAATGTCTTGTTGCGGGAAATTAGAGAAGCCTAGGTTCCACAACAAAAGTATCCTTGCAGGAAATTAGAGAAGAGAAACTGACATATGGCTCGCGAGGCGGCGGATCATTTTAAAAGATCCGCCGACCGACGCGTAGCATGCCTCTTCTTAAAAAAAGATCATCCTATTCTTTATTATGAAGGGGTACGGTGAGATCTCATCAGTTGATGTGTTTAGAGTTGTACCAAAGGTTAATGTCTTATTTATACTCAAATGACCAAATGAGGGGAAAAATGCCTAAATATGTCGCATTTATTTTGCTAACTGGAAACTAACTAGGTTCCAAAGTTTGCAACGGGATTATGGCTAACGAAAGGAAGAAAAAAATAAATTGAAAAATCCCCTTCACCTTCATCTTCAGGCCGAGCTAATTCTCCGCGAGGACCTGAGCACTTCCACCCACATGCATGTATATATCCAATCGCGTCATCAACAATGAGAAGGAAGTACTTGTTACTTGCTGATGCCGCCGGGCCGGCCGGGGTGATCGGTCCGCACAGGTCTCCGTGTCCGTGCGCGCGGTAATCCATGGCGCGCAGGAACGGCGCCCGGTGCTGCTACTGCTGTCTGCTTCCCAAGGGGGCACCACCCGGTAAACTGCTCGATGCGATCGATCGCAGTCGCAGGGATGTCGACGGCCATAGCCTTGGCGGCGAGGTCGTGCAGGCCGCGCGTGTCCCCTATTTGCAGCAGCAGACCGACGACTCTGACAGGATGAGGAAGACGTACGGTCCGGAGTAGAGGCGGTTGGGCATCCGCCTCGCACGCGCGCGTGCACCATCTGATGGTCTTACAGGCTCACGACATCCTCTTCGACCACTGTCTTCACGCTGATCTCATACAGCTGGCCGATGCTGATAATGTTGCTTCGGAGCCGCGGTATGCAGATGCAGCACACCTCAGTCGGCACCATGTGCTCGTCGTTCTTGCAGACGAAGAAGAGAACAAATCCGCGCCCTTGGATCTCAAGGACAGAGCCATCACCAATTTCACCATATATATATCATAGCTTGCCACGGAACTAGTTAAGGCTCACCATATATATGATGCGGTCGACGCCGTCGGGCGCGGGGAGGGCGGGGTTACGCTTGGCGTCCGTGACGGCGAGGCAGGAGAGGATCTTGTGCAGGGGCGTGTGCCGCCGGGGGTCGGAGAGCGGCAGGGCGGGGACGAGCTCCGTGCAGATGTGGGAGAGCAGCTGCTCCGTGGATCCGTCCACCTCGTGCGGGTCGAGCCCCCTGTGCCGCAGATCGGCCTCCGTCAAGGGATCCACGTTGGTGAACGGCGGCCGGCCGGCCATGGTCGCCGGACGATGAGGCGGCGAGGGTTTGGGGATTTGGGGGTGGCGAGTGAGAGGAGCGGAGAGAGTGGTCTGCTTTTTTTTCCTTTTTCTTTTTTCTTTTCCCTTTTTGAGGCAAGGAGAGAGTGGCCTGTGACTCTGGAGTCGTTTAGTTGGGTCGAGATACCACACAGGTTTCTCGCAGGCCCACCAGTCAGTTACTTGCATCTCATTTCTGGGACCTCCTCCATCTTCTCAAAAAAAAAATCGGGGACCTCCTATATGCCACTCGCTGCTGCAAAAGGTCGGCGTTTCGCACAGAGACGGCTAACCTGGGCCGGTCCATTTGCAGTGGCAGGCGGAGCCATCACGTTCGAGTCTTCGAGAGTTGAAAAAAGGCAAAGATAGGACCGTGCTCGTGTGATTTGCTCCCACGACTGCACGTGATCAACATCGCTAGCCACCGTAATTTCTAAAGATTTGATATCGAAAATGGCAACCCAGTTTATATGAACTTTTTTGAAATTTCAAATGTGGTTTTATTTTTGAGATTTCTGAAACAAAATCAAAATCTTCATTTTGTGAAAGCATAACATTTTTTGGGAATCTCAAAGATTTTCTCAAAAAACAAACAAATTTATAAACACAAACATTTTTTAAAATTATGAATAAATATTTTAAAACCATAAACAAAAATGAAAAAAGCTCAATTTTTCGGATTTACGAACATTTTCAAAACACGAACATTATTTTAATTAGCGAACAAATTTTGAAAATATGGACATTTATTGAATTTTTTATGAACAATGGAAAGCAGGAACATTTTAAAAATTCACGAATATTATCTGAATTTGTGACCAAAATTCAAAATGCAAACGTTTTCTGAAATTCCCGACAAAATATTCTAAATCTTGAAAACATGAAAAAAAATCGAATTTGTGAACAAAATTTAAAATTAAAATTCCCAAACATTATTTGAATTTTTTAACAAATTTTGAAAACTTTTCGGACTGTGAACAAATTTTTAAAGTGGGAAAATTTCTGCAATTGCCAAACATATTTCCATTTTCGATTTTTCTGAAAACATGAACATTTTCCGAATTTGTGAACCAATTTTAAAAGTGGCAACATTTTTTGAAATTCGCTAATAGTTTCTGAATTTGTAAAATAAAGGTAAACATTTTTAAATTTGAAATTCTAAACTAAGAATGGTAATCGATAATTGGTTTTTTAAATTGCGAACATTTTTTGAATAGAAGGGAACAAATATTGAAATTCTTGAACATATTTCGGGCAATTTAATTCTACCACAACAGTTATAAATAGTTTCCGTCTTATTGTGAAGCAGGGATATTCGGAGGCAGGCACAGGTTCTAACTCTACAATGCCTATCCTTGCAAATAATATGTTTAACGGGGACCCCTCGACCATTTTTATTCCAGTGATCCCTGGAGGATATACAGAACTTTTGCTTCAAACCGATCAAGCTTCAGAGCTGCTGCACACTCCAAGAAGATTAGATTTTTGATGGAGCGAACAAGCAGCAGCAGTATCTTTTATTTCTTCTTGTCGCTATTGATCAATATATAGAGTTACAAATCTATATATGTAGTGCTGCACTCTCGTGAGTGAGCTTATTTTTCTCAATCTAATTATCAGAATGTTCACACTGGAATTCCATTCATTTTTGCCAAAGTCCTAATTTGTATTCATTCATCAGTCTCTATTTTTCCCATCCCTTTGTATTTTTATTGCACTTCTGAATGTAATAGAGCTATCTACATTGTACACTGATGGACACTTCTGAATGTCCCCAGCTTTGCTCGTGTGATTTTGCCCTTAAACGCTAGCCCTCCCTTGAGGTCGATCCAACCGGGTCGTGTGATAGGCACCACCATGGCTCCGCCCGCACGGGAGGGCAAACCATCATCTATCATATGCATTATTAACCAATGTCGACCGACCTTGAATTATTTGCCGCCTCTTCTTTTTACTCTTGCCATTATTATGTGTCATCATATATAAGCAAATGACCTTGAGGTGTTTCTATCTATCTATCTATGTATCATCTGCTAAGCAAAGACGACTCAAA